TATCAGCGAACAGCGCCTTAGTAGGTACTTGCAAAACAAACGATCACATTTTATTTTGATAGAGTTATCTTCACTAAATTCAGCATATTATTATAAATAGTAAAATGTGTATACCTAAAGATCACTGTTAGAAATCAACGTAGGTTGGTACTATAGCAATTTTACAGATGAAGAAAGAAGAAAAGAAACCGACCTACTAGAAAATAATTTGAACACAAAAGTATCATAAACCCACTCGGTCTATTTATCGAAATGCAATAAGGACAAAAATATTTCAAATGTTTTGTCCTTTTTTGTGGCCCTTTATCCCCTTAGCCTACTAATTGGAAACAATCTAAGTATAAATTTTAGTTCGTTAGTTCGCTTTTGCTGATAGTACAAGCTCAAACTAAAATTGTAATCAAAAATCAATGGTACAATTATAGGTACGTATACTAAATGTGGCGCTTTCGATTACAACTGGGCGAGGTTTCTTGTTTTGAATAAGTACATATATGATATAGAAAATTATGAAAGAGGTTTTGTACATACATACATACATCTACGTTTAATTTTAATTTAATATATATAATTACTTAATTGATTGCTTTTTTTATCAATTGACGTCGCAATGCTTTACACGAGGCAAGTCTTAGTATTCTCCTTACAATCCGGGAAAGGAAATACAGTTGCGACAATTAAAATTATTTCAATCGACCTAGTGGCTATTTTAAATATGAATATCACTTTGAAATAGGGTTCGAAATACGCAAACATTTAGGAACGTACCTACCTACTTATTAACGGTGAAATTAATAAGGGAAATTTATCATTTCTTAAATCATTTAATATTCTATAGATATTTAGAGACGTGTTTTTTGGACTTTAAGTTCCCGGTTTCCTGTTATATATATATAGGAAGAAAAAATCTATTGGGTAAAAGCCGGAATTATGACGCACCGCCAGAGCCGAATAATCAACACTGCTATTATATAAACTTAAGGTATTTAATAATTATCAATCTTAAAACATGTGATCGCATACAATTTTTATTTGGTAAAATTCCATCTAAACACGAATGACTCGCTTCTGTTGTTATATTTAAAAATAGGCTTTACAAGGCTTATCTTTGTTAAATCTAGATTAAAATGCCTTGAAATGTCACCGAAACTAGATAATGTATTAATCTATCTTCGTTAATTATATTTTTGTGAATATTAGTGCAAAATATAAATTATAGGTGCAATTTAAGTGTTTTATATACTAAAATTTATATACAATAATGTCACTATTTCACATTTCTCACCTTATTACATAAAAATATATTAAAATGGAATTTTAGATTAAAATTGTGTCGGGTAGGTACCTAATTGACCCTTATGTATTAATTTTTAGGTAGGTTACTCGTACAATTGACTAAAAACAATATTTTATTTGATATACATGAACTTGCTTTGTGATATATTGTGAATATTGAAATTGTATAATATACTTTATAGTTCTTTAAAATGTTTTTAGTGGCAATTACATATATAACAAATCACCCTATCAATATTAGATCACTACAGACAATAAAATATCAAAATTTCATAGTTTGTAGACTATATACAGTAACTTTATATAATACCGTACATACAAATACAATGCTATTATTTTATGATGCTTAGTTATTGGAGGACTCTGAGTTTGCGCAACAACGCCTCCCAGCCTGTCGATAAAGCCAGCTTCAGTACGCATGTGCGGAACTCGGTACTTTGATTACATTATTTCCTATTATCTATGCTAATGTAACATTTAATATGAAACCTTTGAAATCTTGTACGCGCTCAATTCCTTATATTTCCTTCAACAATATTTCTGCATTATCTAACCGAATTTGTTTATTAACATTTCATACCGATAGAACTTGAATTTATTTTGTGATAGAGACAACTGAATTTTATATTATATTACTTACATACAACATAAATGCGTTCGGATTTCAAAATTTTACTAATTTAGAAATTCGATTTGATAAAGATTTAAAAGATAATAATGGCGAAATAATGCAAGGTAACTAAATTTGTATTACTTACTTAAACGAAAATTATAAAGTAACATAGTTGGAAGCTTACTCGTGACTTCTGAAATGCCTATTAGCACTCTTTAACATTTTTTACTTTCCTTACAATTTAGTATTTTATTAGAAAAATTAACACAATTTTACCTCACTGCCGATTGGTATTTAGTTCGTTTATAAAAGTTTAAATTGCCGGTAAAGTCGTTTCTAATGTGATTCATGGGATAAAAATAAAATAGTGCCTAACTACGTTTATGATATGTAGGTACATCGTGAATCTAAACGAAACTGTTCGTTAAAATAAACAAAAAGTCTACATATATTAATAGTGAAGTTAGCAACCATACATCAGGTACAAGTCGTCAAATATCTCAACCTGGCTTAATGACGTCATACAAACTGGAGAGATAGCAAAAAAATTGAAGATGTAAAAATAAAAAATATTTTATTTGTGTACTTATTTTTATTGATACTCGTACCTACCCATCTTACATACAGCACTAAATAGGTAGTTTATGTAATATTTCACCAAACAGAGAAACAATAAACACTAAAATGCGATTACGAAAGCAAGAATAATACACGTGCGGCATCGGCGATTGCGTTGGCAACGGTACTGGATAGGCGAAAACGGGGCGGGGTGCGGGGCGCCAGGGAAGCGCATTCCAGCGAGGTTCGCAGATATTTCCGACGGCTTGTACCTAATATGCTAACTTCAGCTGAGACGGTATGAAACTAACAAAAAATGAAGCATATTGATATGTTTAAAATATAACAAAAGCTAAACCTTTTAAGAGTTCGAAACTTGCGTGACAAACTAATATCAAAATTAATGTATTTTATTACTCAGCAACTGTCATTAACTTCCGAAGTTCGTAAAATGTTCTAAATAAATAATTTATCATTGACTCGCGTGCCTTCCGTATCAAGTTTCAACTCTCAAGGGCTCTATTTAATCAAGGCTCTTTTATTAGAAACCTAAATAGTAAATAAGAACAAGTATATTTACATCAATCTTCCAGACTTTCTAGAGTTGATTTATAGAAATGATTCAAAACGATCAAACATGAATTACTGAAGCGCAATGTTTAAAAATAGAACCGAAAACTAAAATTACGAAAAGTATCACAACCATTTACAACATGAGTCGATTTAATTTATTAATTTATTTTTAGGTTCTTGATATTTAAGCGTTAGTAAAAACACTTATGTATAACAGTAAATTGTAGTTAAAAGGCCATAAGATATACTTATTTTAAACAATGTCGTGAACCTAGGTTCAACATACAATATGTAAATAAAATACATCCACATAATTTATGCAGCAACATGTAATGCGACCGAACGTTTATTTTGAAAAATAAACCCTATTCAGAATTTTAAACGCCACCTGTCCTTAACACCGTTGAGTTAAAATAACCTTCGTTTGTAAGAGGAAGTTACATCATTTATTTACAAATTCCATCATTCATCAATTCCTGAGCTAAATTTAGGTATGTGCGTAATAAATTAGATTTTTGTCTTACATTAGCTCTCAAAAGTATGAGGTTTTAACTTATTCTAATTATGTAGGAAATTTCAGTAGGTAAGAAAAAAGTAATCGTCTCTTTCTAACAATTGTGTTTACGTTATGATGAAGAGAGACAGATTATCTTAAGTAGGTACAGAAGACTGATACAGTTTTGACATGGGTACCCCCATGTAAATACGATTTACACGTCTTCAGAAACTTTTTTTGCCTAGGTAGATACTATAAGTTACTAGGGCTATACACGGAAACTTTAAATAGATAGGCTTTTTAAACTACCGATTTTATCAAAGAAAGTATCTTCTAGATCGCATTGGACCTTTTTAATAAAAACTTTGTACCGTAACTCATTCTCCAGATAATCCAAGATATCTTGGGTAAATAAAGCTTTATCAGCTACCTGTTAAAATGACAAACATAGTTTAATCTAGTTTGATATGATATTATGAAGCAAACAGATACAGCAGCTTCCGCCCTAATATGTTATCTCTGTCATTTGGGTTAAGTCGATAATCTTGGAAATTTAAAATTTAGACATTATGATTTTCGAAATTTAAACGTTGATTTTTTAATGAGGAACATTAATTTCAAATATTCATGTAATATCTATAACTATGTAGGGTTTTATTAATCTAATGGGTTGGAGGGGAAAGAGCCTGTAGGTCATAAGGCTGCATACCGCAGCCAGGAGTCTTTTTGAAATACATGGAGGCCGTATTTGTTGGGAAAACCTCTGGGAGCTGATTTCACAATACGCTAGTTCGCAAAAGAAAATGCCTAGATTATTATACTTGAGGCTTTATACCTATACTAGTGATTTAGACAGTAATTACATTTATGTATTTTTCACTTATTTTAATAGGCAAGTGATCAGACCTTTCAACCTTAATAGTATCTATCAAAAATCAATTCCAAAACAAGCGGATTAAACGTCATAAAACGAAGTAGGTACGACGTCATGACGTACCTACTTGGTCCGTACCGGTGGTACCGTCATCAATTTATTTATTAATTAAATAATTTTGGCAACAATGTTTGTAAAACTGCCTAAATATCCACTAATTTGTATTCGATCATTAATAAATCAACATAGACGAATCGTTGAAATGACACACATTTGTCTAAAAATATCGTTTAATGTACGACAGGAAGAATGTAATAAATTCTATGTCATTGACCTCATCACATATGGCTACTAAATTGTCTTTTTACTAATAGCGTTTATACATTAGTTTAGCGCACAAATTACTAACACAGTTAAATAGGTATATCTAAAGGTATTTTACCTAATTTTCATAAATACCCAAAAACCTAAAGACTATTATATCTCCCCAGTACAAATATAGTATCGCATTTGTTTTCGACAAATTAAATTGTCCAGACTTCGAGACGAGCTAAGGAATTTTAGTCGAGTTCAATATGAAGTCTTTAAAACTAAGATTTCTTAAAACCCAAAGGCCAGACGACGAAAGGACTCCGTAGCAATGTGGCAAAAATGCCGTTCAATTTATTCCCAAATTTTATTCCCGACTGGTCCCTTTTTGTTGCCATCTGCTCAGCGAGCCGACCCAACTCCAGACAGCTCCACCCTAAAAACAGTTTAGATGAGATTTCTATTTCCTTCACACCCGAACTAAACGTGCTTTCGCTGTCCCTGTCTAATCGCCGGTATACCCAGGACCCGTCTCCCGTCTCGTTTTCGCACATGCGCATGGATAATTCCATCCTTTCTGGCTCGTACTAATTCGTGTATTTCCGCTTCCCACACGAGCGGCAGCCATTTTTGGCGGGACTGACAGTCAACGCCAGTTTGGCGCGTATCTAGCAGGATGAACAAGGTCAGTCTCCATAACTGGAAGCTTTCAATATAAATAAATCTAAGCGATTCCCTCTGTTTATGTTCCAATTAAGAATTACTACTTACATTTGCCGTTCAAACATTTCAGGTGAACAGGTGAAGAGAGATGCAGTGCGGATGCTGGGACATCATTTTTCTTCGTAAGTATTGATAATTTGTTTAAACTGTAGTTTAAATGTAACTACTGTAGGATTGTAAAGAATTTTATTAATATAGCGGCTATCAAATTAGTAATAGGTACTTAATTGTTTCCCCGGGAATCGACGAGCCTCGGAAGCGGTTTATACACATGTATAGGTATATTGTTAACGACGCCGTGTAAAAATTGTATAACGACAGAAAATAAACGGTGTTTAACTTTGTTTATACATTCAATGGTTTTAGAAAATTGCCCAAAATGCCTTTGCTAAAGGTACTTTTACAATGGGTTTTTTGTCTGTTAATGAACGACAAAGGCTCTCTTGTTATAATTGTTCCTGTCCGGTATTCATTAGCATTTCCTACTTTCTGTTTGAAGATTCAACAAAAAACGAAATCTCGTTGTTAACGTCTATTTGAAGTACAAGAAATAGTAAAAATGGTTGTGAGGGGTTTAAACATATTTAGCGACAAATAATTTGTTAAAAAACATAATCTCACAATTTGCGCGGAGGAAATATAATAGTATTTCTTTCCAAGGTTTTTTTTTTAGTAAAATGTACAGAACTCTACGTATCGATTTTACTAATATAAAGACAAGAGTCTAGACTGGATTTGCAAATAACTTCGTGATTATCATCCTAATTCAAACGTGTATAAGCTTTGTTTGTCATTACGGTTTTTAAATCGGGTATACTAGGCCCCATTGTCTCGTGCGTAGTAAAATGCAAATGAGACCAAACCGGTCCCATAATATGTACAAATAAATTGCATTGAGTATTATAACAATGACCCCAGTTCATGGCTTAAGTTATGAAACAAGAAAATTTAAATTTGGAATCTTTAGTGCTATGGAATATTACGATCTGACTCACAGCTTTCTAATAAAAATTATAAACCTATTAGCGTTTCATGAGCCTGAATGATTCTCGTCTTCCATGTAAACAGACGGCAATTATGCAGAGCAAACTAACAAAACGTGTAAATGGGCCAATTACCGTCGGCTATGTAGGCTGCCGTACAATTAGTGGCTAGCTAATAGCTTTCATCACCAATGTTTCATGTGAGACGGTGTGTGGGAGACGCATCAGAACGGAGTCGCCTCTCGTTGCGATCACACGGTGTTCGATTTTTGATTTCGTGTTTGATTATGTTTGGATTTTATTTGGTGAGTCGTTTCTGTTCATTACCGCGCGAGAATAAATCAACAGATTTTACGCTTCCGTGCTTTTAGGTTTTGATACAGTAAAAATATAATTGGATAAAATTTTAATTTCGTAGACGAATAACAATAGATGTCTAACAGCTGTTATTATGAGCCACTTTATCTTGAACTTTGAGGTTGTAGGTTTGAAATGAGAAGGTTTGATAAAAGGGTGGATCAACTTATCCTGGGTAACTATAAAGTGGGGGTCTGAGCCATTCATTGTGTAGGGCGGGGGCGGCGATTGCCTATGTCCGGAGTGCGCATGCCTATGACCCACTTCGCACTTGTGAGGTCGGCCTCGTACCAACCTTGGCGAATCAGAGAATTTGCGGCCCGCGCAGACATTGTGACGCGCAATGGCGACGAATACGATAAAAAAATTTAAATTAACATGATTTTATAACGAATTATAAAAACTAAATAGCTTAAATAAAAAGCTGTATTTTTATACATATTAAATTATAGGAAATTTCGTGCGTTCAGTTCAAATTCTTTTATACATATAAATCTTTGTTTCCTTATCGTTATATTGTCTAATTGCAGTGAACGTTTTTGAATTATTCGTATTGTAAGAAATTTCCATTCTATCGACTGTGATGTAATACTATCTCAATTTTATCAGGTATTTGCAACGCGTTGTGGAATAATAATTAGCACGTGCCTACGAAAATGTCGTGTCTTCCGTTTCTAACTTAGTACACGCGCAGCTTTTATAAGTAGAACAAGCGGGTAAGAATCTAAAACAATAGAGGAATTGATTTCGTTGTGATTGCGAGTGGACGATTTGTTTTTGTTTTACATGTTTAGTCCCTCAAATCGTTTGATAATAATAGCTGTTTATTCTGTTGATAGTGTAAATTTAGAGTGACAGTCTAATACGACTGACAATGTAGGAAAACAAAATATGAGTAGGTACTGATTGATGTACAGTACCTAACCGTAAATTTATATATTTTATAGCATAATATAATGGCTTACGTATAACATATAAACCATAAATTACACTAGACATATCAATGTAAATTATTGCGACATCATTAATTTGCATATATATTCTTTTAATTTGTATTCTTCGGCAATTAACCAAATATTATACTTATGTATTATTTTTAAGTTTTTAACACTGATATCATCCATAATGTCCAGAAGTATAATTTGTATAGGCCTGTGGAGCGCAGATGTTCTACAAATTTTAGAATAGAATGTTCCTTATCAATCACCAATATTTATCCATTTGACGTCACGCCATGATTTCATTTTCATAGACGTGAAGTTAGTCAAATTAGCATTGCTAATTTAGTCGATTCATATATTATAGAGCAATGCTTCTGTTATAATTAAATATAAATTATATGTTTTCTTAGTTTTCAGATGTAACCAGCTGACGTCTGATGCTCCGCTGAAGAAGTGTAAAAGTATATAACAATAATGTTTGTACTACAGATAGTAGGTATATTAATCTTATCTTATTCGTATCTTTCAAAGAGCGTACCAAGTCTTAAAAGGCCGGCAACGCACTTGCGAGCCTTCTGGCAATGTGAGTCCATGGGCGGCGGTAACACTTAACATCGGGTAAGCCTCCTGCCCGTTTGCCTCTTACTTTTATACTGAATATGTCTAGTACGATGCAGCATAAGAAATTTAACGATGAAGGAAGGTACGCTGTGAACTTAGGTAATTAATAAAATCTTTGGGTAAACAAGAATAAGTTCAGCATGTCTCAATAAATTTTCTTATATTAAGACTTCCTGCTATATTATGGAGCATAGATCATAATTGCTATATTAACAACCTAGAGTTATATCGTGAACATAGGCACAAGCATATCCAACATGAAGATATTTGCAGCTACTCATCGGCATCACTATTAGTGCCCTACATCTACCCTGTAGATCCGAATTTGTTTGAAGTAGGGCGACAAATTCGGTTCTAGAGAGGTTTGTGTGGTGCATGCACTGCGTCATTCAAGACCTTTCCTCAAGAAGAATTGGAAGAAAAGACTTAATTGTTCATTTAACCAACTTGTAATTACTTATTTACTTAGATACATCTATTGGTAATTTTATCAAGCATGTGTATAAATGATAAAACAGTTTTAACCTTGATTCACCAATCTAAAGTTAGCATAGTTTAGTCATATAATTTTGATTACAGAGCGTTAAAATTAATACGTTGTTATTGGTTAGAATAAATTATGTAACCACAAAATCTAAAAATTGTCCAAATGGTAATCACCTTCACAGATGGCACTGTTCATAAGTTTAGCTTTTCATTCACTTATTCACACTAGAGCCTCTATTTTCTTAAATTTAAATTAATTAGACATTCTTGCTTTGGTTTATTTTTAGTATAATAATGATTACTAAATCAATATAAAGTTTATTGTTACTTACATTTGTTTGGCTGCTAACACTTCGCAAGTTTAAATGTTATGTTTAAGTGTTTTCTTAGAAATTTATATTACTTTTATATTTTTTTTATGAATTTATTATTATTAAATAGTTTTGAAATCATTGTATATACATATTGGAAGCAGTCTCGTGTTCCCACCTCATTACTTCTTCTTTCACATTGTAAATTGGTTCTTATTAATGCATACATACAATACTATAGAATGCCTACTTTAGTTCAAGGATATTTTTCTGTCAAATTTTCATTATGCTGCAATAAATTCACCGTGCGTTAATAATGATGATAATTTTTGTATTTCATACAGGATTAATAATTTTATAGAACACATAATACATACATTTCTTTTAAATATCTATTTCTTGAAAATAAACTTGTACTATCCAAATATTATTTACGAGATTTTAAAACAATTTTATTCGTATTGGTTTATCATGTATTGAATTATCGTTGTTCTATATTTTGTTTTAATAAAAGATATATAAAATTTATTTCTTTGTTTGATTTCTCTTTTATACCTTTATTTGTGAAGTAAATTCGACATTGAATCGATCATCGGCATATAAACAACTACTGTAAATTATAACTGTCATCTACTGTAAAGCTTATTTCCTATAGACTAACCGGTAACCGGTAAACCGTAAAGTTTACCTGAATCGGATTTAATAAATTTTAATAAATAATAGATTTTGCATCAGTTAATAGTAACACAGTTAGAGGAGACACATTTCGTATCTGTTACATTTATAATTTAACAGCCTGTACCGATCCCAGGAAAACTAGATTTCCAAGAAAAATAAATGGAGAATAACTACAAAAAAGTATAATATATTTATTTTATACTACTTGCTGACGTTCGCCAAATTTTACTGAGGATGCTGCAACTGGCAAATATTCTCCTAGGAAACATATTACAACGCGCTTTTATTATATACAACGCGCTAACAAAATTTCCAGTAACTACTATAGTACAGTTTAAAATAAATGGCGTCGTTTTATTAGCTGCTTACGCGCAGAGTATTTAATGTAATACAAGTTTAAATTCGAACGAGAAGTATATATATAATACACAGAAATTTTAGGCATGTTATGTTTATATTTTTTATATACATA